GCGTGTTGCGAAGCCATGACGAACAAGTACAGAAGTACGAAAACAATTACAGCGCTTTTTATTGGACTCAAGGTGTGATTGAGAAATGAGAAAATGATCATTTGAATGGAAGCCTGAAGAGTAGACATAAACGGAATTGTCGATTGACCCGCATACCGCACTCGCTCTCTCTGCAGGCTCCACTGTTGCTAGTACCCATAACCGCAACCAGTAAGCATGGAATGTTCGCTCTGGCTGAGTTGAGGGACAGCTCAACTTGGAGTGTGTACTTGAACCTGTTATGCGGGTCTCTATTGAATTTATCCATCCCACATTGAATCTCCATGGGGGAATCTGAATTGATATTGCCGGCCCGACCGGAAGCAGGGCGCTCCTAGTCTTTCGATACACGGCTGCCCGACGGACATGGCCGCAATTCGATCATACCTACCTACCTACCGAGCGACACAGTTGATGAACGGATCATAAAGCCCTCCAGTGGGCGTTCATGGCAACGCCTCTCGTCTCTCACACTCAAAACGATGCTGTACCCTATACGATGATGTGATTGCTGGGCGAACTCGACGGCTCGTACGTTGTCAGTCTGTGGCCGTCCAACCTCTCTCGTGTATTTTGGCGGCTCCGCGTGTAAAGCAGACTGCCCTTAACACTCCAACACCTTTTCAGCGATATGAGTCCGACAGCTCATCCAGAATGATTATATGTGGCGAACCGAATCTCTTTATAGAACAGTACGCCATGGGTGCATGCTCAGTGAGCCCTTCCGTAAGGCCCCAATTCGACTGAGCCCTTCCGTAAGGTTCTGAATGGAAAGAGGAAATAACTCCAAGAGCTCGGATCCCTGGGCCAGCCGCTCACATTCTGCTGGGATCACCGAGTGATTCCGTGACGAGGGCTCGAGGAACACGCAATTAATGAGCGTTGGAAACTCGAGAATATTCCCCGCATCAAGTCGGTCACCCATCATTCCGATCCACGTGATAGCGATGATGATAAGCATGCTCTCCTCCATCATGATCTTGTTGACAAAGCTAAAATGGACTAATTAAGCAGCTGTTCCAAGCGGAGCTCGTCGTTCCCCGAGCTGACAATCAAGTCATCGAGCCGACGCCAGCGTTGTCGTGTTCCGCGAGGGAATAGCGACGGACATCAGGAGCACAGGAACAAGCGAATGGAAAAACGGACTACGGCGACGGTGATAGGGAGGGACGGAGGGAGAGAAACCGGAATGAATACGACCGAGGACGTGACCACTACGATGGGCACAATTCTTGAAAAGCGCGAAAGCGCTCATTGGCAGTCGCGGTCAAGCCGCCGCCGGGCCGGCGACGCGCCTCCCTGAGGAGAGGTAAGATCAACAAAGCTGGCTCCGATAGCATCTACCAGGAGGAGAAGAGGAACCTTCCCCGACTAATTACTGACCGGTCTCTTCTGAAGCACTGGCGTTATTTCACTTCTACCGCCGCCGCCGCCGTCGTCGTCGACACCGCGGCCGCGACGTCTTCTGGTTTCTTTCACGGCGCGCAGACGGTAAGCCCGTGAAAAAATCCAAATATTAGGAAAAAAATCCCGCATCTGAGAACTTCTTATGGCCGAGGAAGATCGCCGCCAGCGATAAGTATTCGGCTCGTTGCTCTCATCATTGCCGAGCATTATCTCTACATCTTTAGAGCTGTCAGCTTCCAGCTCAGAGTATCGAACTCCCGTTCTAGTCCATCGGCCAAGGAGCTCCGGTCATCGCGACGGTCTACGTCGTCGTTTCCTGCACTCTTGTGGTTTCCGCGAGGTCTGAAGATCGGTCCTCTGTCCCGTCGATACTCAACTCGACAAGTCGAGCGAAAGAGTTCCTTATCATGGACTCTTGATTTCGATTAGTTAGCACGAGCTCGACAGAAGATACCGCGCTCGAGACAAGAGGGAATTTTCGGAGGCTTCTCGGTGCGAGCTTGATCTCTCGCTTATGAATTCGAAGTTTCTCTCGCTCGAATTGGTTCGAAGGTGCATATCTTAGCGCAGCTCCGATGCGACCGAATGTTATCAGAGGTACAGCTGCCCTGCATGTGTGCCTATTGGTGCGCAGCATGGGACGCATCTTCGCTCATCCTTTTGGCTGTTGTCTACGGCTTCGGATCTCAACTTTCTCGACCTGATAGTTTGGTCCGGATGAAAGTACCGAAACTAGGAAGCAACGAACCGATAAAGCAAGCAAGCAATTCATTGAGATGCTCAAGCGATAGATTTCTTCGCCTCTAGTGCGCGTCTCGCTCGATGGCGAGCCGAAGGAATTAGCAGTTCGTCAGATGGCAGACCGAGAGAGCGGCTCGCACTCGACAGCAGGAAGATTCACCTGAAGAAGATCCACACGGACCACTGACCCCGAACATCGAACCGGACTCGGCCTAACAAAGCGTGCCAGGCGCTCCGAGAGCGACATCATCGGCGACACTGCGACGATGGCGGCACCTTTATCCACTCGGGACAGTCCGGGAGGAATCCCAGTGAAGCTGTCCGGCCCGGAGGAATCGCGAGCATTTTCGCTAGAAGAGACGCCAAAGCTTGTGCGCTCTTTTTTTCGCAGTTCAGATCCTGGCATCGCGCATCGAAGCTCTGCCGTCGATGTTTCAGTACCTCCGGAGATCTTGGGCGCCGCTGGGCTCAGCTTCGTAATGAAAGAAATACGCAGTCAATGCATTTATGGTCCACGGTAGGTACGTTCATAATGGATGCGCATGCAGTTCGCGAGCTATATGACCGGAACGGCAAAACTATCCGTGCAGCTTGTGTGAATTCACGGCGCCCTGATTAACGAGCTACGTGCGAGTAACTCATCGCTTAAATGAGCTCGCTCGCTTACCTGCCAACCAGCCAACTACTGTCAAGTCCTCGGAGTCGCGCTTGCCCCCCTCATTACACATGCGTCTCGCGCGATGACAATCATTCCACATTATTACCAGGTTGAACGGCCGTTTATGCAGCTACTCTCTTGTCAGACACTACCCAAAACCTTTCGCGAGACGGAGCATCGTTATAGCGCGCTCATTTGTCGCGTATCGTCCTCCGGCCTCACCTCAATCATCGCCGGCGACAATCGTTCGCAGCTCGTATTGACCCTACTCGGTCGAGTTTATGGTCCCGTACACCCACTCAGGCTAACGAAAAATAAATGTATCCAGGAGCCGACACTCACGAACTCACGCCGTACCGACACTCGAAGAGACTGAAGTACGTTCACCGAACACGCGCATTCTCGCTCGCTCGCACACACACAAACAGGTCAAACAGAGCCAGAAGACGCGTTGACAACCTACTGTGTGACCCGTTCAACACGTCTCGCGCACTTTAATG